ATAAACTGTTTGAAAATAAATTATTTTGAAAAATAATGATTTGAAGTTTCAAATTCTTGATAAATATTTTTTTCTTTAAATTGTAGTATTGACTAAAATGAAAAAACATCGAGTACATTTAACCCTAAACCATTTTTTATTGAAATATATTTTCTAAAATATTTAAATTCTCTCCTTTTTCTTGATAGTTACTGAATATCAATTGTTTAAAAACATGCATTAGGGTTAACAAATTAGAACAATGGCAAGCAGCTTTTATCTTCATTTTGCCTCCACTTTTAACTTTTTTTCCTCGATGTTCTGATATTCTATCTTGCGTAATGTTTACTTTTAAAATAGAAGTGGTGGTTAAGCTATAAGCACATTGATTTCTTTATTCGTAAGAAAAATAAATATTAGTTCTGATAGTATGTAATATAAGTAATTCCTTAAAGAGCAAATTATTTTGATTACGAAAAAGAGGTTTAGAACTCTAAAATTGTCATGAAATAAGCAGAGATAATAGTCTGACAAACTCATCTGCATCGAATTACATTGTCACCCATATTCGTTTTTTATTCTTCATAAATAGAATGAATAGGACCAAATTCTTTATTGTCAAGACTCTTTGCCTGTCTTATTTTCTATGAGTGATTAATTTTAAGGTACTAAACTTAGTTCTTCGTAACCAGCAGATGTTTTTCTCATTTTTATCAAGAATACGATAATAACTGCCATTGCTAGTACTGCAACAGTCAGAAATGTTATTGCTAGTCCCAGTTTTACTTTTTTCAAACCAGGCATTATAATATGTTGTAAATGTTCTGTTGTTACTTCAGAAGAAGTACTGGTAGGTGTGGTAAATGTTGAGGAATCGGACGAAGTTTCTTCTGTTACGGTAGTTGATTTATCAATGTAGGGTTCATGGCTTGACGCCGTCGTTTTAATATCCTTTGACGTAGTCTCAGATGTGATTACAGTCATGTCAGTATTGGAAACTAGCTCTTCTGTAGAAGTCGTACTTTTGGGAGAAATTACAGTTGAAGAGCTCAAATCTGTTGGTATAACAGTGTCTGTAGAGACTTTCGAAACTGGTGTAGCATCAGAAGAAGTAATTGTAGAAGCTTTTAAATCTGCTGGAGTAGTATCGGAAGTAGAAGCGCTTACAGAGACTTCTGAAACTACTGGTGTAGCATCAGAAGTAAGAATGTTTGTAGAGGCTTTCGAAACTGCTGGTGTAGCATCAGAAGAAGTAATTGTAGAAACTTTTAAATCTGCTGGTGTAGTATCAGAAGTAGAAGCGCTTACAGAGACTTCTGAAACTACTGGTGTAGCATCAGAAGTAGAAATGTTTGTAGAGACTTTCGAAACAGCTGGTGTAGCATCAGAAGAAGAAGTGATTGTAACTTTTAAAACTGCTGGAGTAGTACTAAAATTTGAAACATTATCTAATGTCGAATCAGAATTAGTACTCGAGAGGCTCGTTACAGTGCTTGAAATTTCAAAACTAGATGTAGGAGAGATACTAATACCCGATACAAAACTTGAATCTGACTTATCACTTGAAGCATCAGTTGAAGAACTTGCATCGTCTGATCGAGTTGCAGCATCCGATGCAGAGCTAATATCGTTTATGTCGGTTAAGGCTTTCGATGTTGAACTTACATCATTTGAGTTAGTTGAACTATCAGTCGAAGTAGAGGTACTTGTTTTCTCTGAAATACTTAAATCTTCTGTGTTTGAATGCTGATTTTCCTCGGATGTTAAACTAAATTTATCAGTTGTTATGTTTGTCGTTAAGCTACTATCATCTAAACTAGAGAGTTTTATTGTATTTTTTAATTCATTTCCGGAAGAGGTAACTGATACGCTAACATCATCAGAAGGCGTTGATTGAGGGAGAGATGACGGAGATATTTCAGTTGAAGACTCATCTTTGAAGTCATCATGTGTATTAACTCCTTCTTCATCTACTGGTATGTATTCTGAATCCTTTCCATCTTGATCATCCTCGATACCTTTTTCAGATAGAACAGATGATCTTCCATTTGAATGGTTACGCTGAACTTCAGGATCACCTAAAAAAATCTAACATTAGACACAGAGAAAAAAGCATATCTGTTTCATGCCCTACAAGCCAAAAAAAACTTTCAACTAACACAGCTTTCAATTATTTAAGAAATGGTAAGGAAAAAACCAGTACACTTTAATAAACAGGGTTGTTCAAAAGGATGAACCCAATTTGATTCATTTGTATTTAAAGAAAATGTATTTAATAATTTTATTTAAAATTAGTTTGTAGTAAATTGGATATGAACATTGACACATAAGAAGGGAAGAAAGGCTCAATGCTTTGTTATTTTTTTTAAAGCAGAGTAATGCTTCCCTTCTTTTCTGCACGAAAAACACCGACTCGTCCCACAAGCGAAAAAGTGTGTCTTATGTTACTGAGCGTTCTATAGCAGTGAGGTGGTTCCNCTGACTACCACTACGCATATGGCTATAAGTTTGGACCAAAATTCTTATGGGCATTTCATTTGTTTCATAAACTGAAATAAATAAATAAGAAATATTATTCAAGTAGAAAATATCCAATTAATAGAAAATTATGCAAGTTTGAATTTATTTCCTTTTTTTAACTGTTGAGAAAATAATAACATAAGTAAAGTGGTAGGTTGTAAAGGATAAACGGTATAATTGACTATATTCAAATTCTCAGCATGTCACCATCACTTATTTGACACTCAACACCTATTTGAGACAAAGACTATTTGAGGTTGTGGCGAATTATTTTTTCGAGTGGCAGCTAAAAGCAGAACTTTGTGAAACACACTGAATTTTTGAATAAATTGTTAGAATTTAAGAACTTAAGCATTTGTCTATATGACTAAATATGTATCTGTTTAATTTTCTTTGTTTGGTGGCAGACAAAATTCTTTTAATTCTGATTTATTAAAATGTAAATACATTACCCTTGCTATCCATTGGAAATTTTTTTACAACTATATATATA